TGAATTGGTAACTTTTGTTTAGCAGGAGCTGGTGTCCGAACTGAACAGAGAAGTAAAAAGTGGATATTGTGATTATGTTTTTTTAAACTTTTATATCGATTTCATTTGAAGTTCTCCCATACAACGCATCCACAAACAACACTTAGTAAATGAATGATTTCTAAGGATCACAAAGTTGATGCCTATGAACCAAAAGTTAAAGATGTCCCAAAGGTCCAACTTTTCCAAACTGCAGTACCACAGCACTTCATCATCTCTAAGATCAACTACTCCCCCTCCTCTCAGTACTCTCCCTCTGGTCCTTGTATTCGGTGATTCACTGCAACATCTCAGAGAACTCACTAACTGTACTTAGATTTGAGGGATTTATTAGGGAAATAGCAAAGTACAACTTTGGATCAGGAATGACTCCAAAGTAACAGAAATCATTAAGGATATAGTTCTTCACCAGAACAGCTGCTTCTCACCCTCTGCTGGTGCTTGAATCATTTCTTTTTAGAAGGATGAACACGAGGCTGGTCCATATAAGGTGGAGGTTAAAGATGTCCCAAATGTCCAACTTTTCCAAACTGCTGGGCCTCATTATCTCTAACATCAACTCTCCCTCCTGTCTTAAGGTTCCATATTTCACTGCCATGTCTCACAGAATTCACAAACCATCAAGGAAATGGCTCACTAGGTGGTAAAGGCGAGGAGGCTACCAAGTCCCAAATACGTAAGTCAGGCACACATCTGGAGGCTCCCTCTCACTCACATGGTTGCAGGGCTGATGAACCAAAATCAGCAGGTCAGACTGGCTGCTGTCTCACGTCCAAGGATGAGATGACCACAAACCAAACTCGGGACCCAGGGCAAGAGACAGTGAACTTTCCCAGGTCATTCACATATACACCTTCAGTCCTACAACCTTCCCCAATGTGCTTGTTCTCTGCTACTGCAGTTATTACTGATAACCAGCAACCAAGGAATTTTAAGTCTCACCCTTTCCTTATCACTTTGTATTTCCATATGCATCCAACGAGCCAACTCCTCAGAAGTTAGATTCATCACTCCTAAATCCCGTGAATAGCTTCTGCCTTGGATAACTGATTGCAACAAAACAGCTGCTTCAGTCC